GCTGAATTTGTAAAGTCTATTATTGTATAGTTAGAAAACCAGATAGTTATAAGACATTGTTTGCTCTATTATTCTGTGTTTTTAGGTGCAGTATTTAACTAAATAGAATATTTAGTCTAGTTGTATCATTAACTCTCTCGTTACAGGCTCGGTCCCAGGGACCAACCTCATAACCATTGTGTGCTGTTGTAATTTTCATACTATAACTTTTAATACAGTATAGGTATCTTCACAAAATTTTTCAGATTATCAGTAAACATTACAAGGTTTTTGTACACAAAATATCAGAGTTTTTAAGCAGTGATTTGCTCATGCATTGTTTCTTTTTGATTGTTGACTATTCAACTTGCAAAGTAATTTTGGTATTAAGGTTAAAAATACTTTTATGTATCAGAAAATTGTCAGATTTCACGTATGAAATCTTTATAACCTTCTAATAACCTCCAGATAATTATCAAATGTTTTTTTTTAGAAAAAACTTTATATTTTATCTGTTATCTTCACTGTTGTATCTCTGTATGAGTTTAGTTGATTTGACCGACCTCGTAACCACCACAACAAACATTTAGGAAATAGATATAAGTTAAACTTTTTTTTGTTCTAGAAATGATTACAAATTATAACAAGAAACCAGAAATGATTAGTCTAAATAGCTTAAGTCTCATAACATTATATGTCTATATATATTTATTTTAATTTTATTGACCTTTCAGCCATGTCTGGCTAACATTACAGACGTTTAATGACGAGGCGCACATACACTCTTGTTACCGTATCCAATAATATAAAACTGGCCGTTACCAAGTGACCTCTCTTGACTTTGTTCTAGTGGACCAGTATTTTGTAAAATACAGTCACATTTCAGTTATAATACATTACATACGTATGTATATTATTATTATTATTTACAAATACGTTCTTAAATTTCATGAGTGCATGTGAACCGCATCATTGGAACTTTTTTAATGTTAGCCAAGCATGGTTGAAAAATTAATATGCTTACTAATTTAAAAGTTATAGCATGAAAACTATAACAAGCATAAAATGGTTATGAGGTCAGTCTTGGGGACCGAGTCCTGGCTGAAAGAGTTAATGTATATAGGTAGGCTTAAGTTTCCTAGAGTGTTGAGAGCAAAAAAGACAAGAGGACCCAGGTAAGTACTATTAGTTTTGTTTTTCATGTATATTCTTTATTTATTAGTTTAAAAGTAACTAAAATGTAAAAATTAGTAACTTATTTGGTAGATTAGGTAAGATAATGAATAATACTGATGATAATAAAAATTATTCA